CATGCACTATAGCTTATACAACCATAATCATGCTAAACCTAACAATAAACGGGTCACACCATGTGAGATTTCACTAAACTCTCTGCTAATCGTCTTGTATGACATTAACAGGTCACTCGAAGGAGTTTTCACTATAAATTACACTTATCTTAAAACAAATATATTCGAGAACAGAACTACTTTCCTGGATCTTTATTGAAAAACATTTGCTGCAAGGTACGCCTGGTACATCTTTCGGCAATTAAATATGAGGCTGTCCTTATTTTATTTAATACAGTGTCAGAAAAATCACTAACTCCACCATTTTCTCCTATATTTCCCCTCAAAAGATTGTATTAATGTTTGTTCGTCGTTATGATTGTTTGTCGCATTCAAATCTTATACATTATGAGATTTGGCTATGGTCAAATCGAAACTCGTACTTTCAATATACACTAAGCCTAATTTTTATTCATTTAAGCAAAATTTGATTCAGCTTTGAATTATATACATATTAAGTTTCAACGGAAGAGTAATTATTTGTTTTAACGATTAATGGTACACGAGTTCTAATTTTTCTTGTGATTTATATTCTGTATGTCACACCGCGGTAATCCATAAACTTTGAATATACGCTAAGCCTACTTTTTTATGCATTTAAACAATACTTTGTTCAGCTATAAAATATATACATATTACGTTTCAACGGAAAAGTACTTACTTATTTTAACGATTACTTATACACGAGTTCTAACTTTTCTTGTGATTTACATTCTGGATGTCATACCACGGTAATCCATAAACTTTGAATATACGCTAAGCCTACTTTTTTATGCATTTAAACAATACTTTGTTCAGCTATAAAATATATACATATTACGTTTCAACGGAATAGTACTTACTTATTTTAACGATTACTTATACACGAGTTCTAATTTTTCTTGTGATTTACATTCTGGATGTCATACCACGGTAATCCATAAACTGACATAAGCTGACATAGTTGTCAGTTTTCAGGTGGAATATATCTGACAAAAACATTCCTATAGCGGATGATGCTTCTTCGGTTATATTATGTGATTTTTGATGAGGTAATGAGCACAGTTTAACAATCAGGGCAAAATAGTTTACAAAACACTTTATGTAGCTTGAATTTTTAAAAACATTAACCTCATTTCGAAACACAAAATAAAGTCAGTACTTCATTCAAAACCTATTTGCTTCTCACTACAGGGGATTGAAACGATTTTGAATATGCAAACCAGCAAGTCACGCAACAAATCGCAGTGGAACAGAATGTATTAGAACAACATTTTGACATCGCCTGGCTTGCGTAGGTTGTGTGATGCCACCGAAAACTGACCTCTTCTGCAAAAAATATTTAAAAGTCCTTTCCGACGCAAAATATATATACACTCGGATCATAAAGATGTGTTCAGATCGAGGATTTAGAATTTCCAAGAAGTAATAACATTAGAAAACAAAGGGATGTGGATCAGTTTGGGGCACTAGGAACATCCAGAAAAACTTGTTTTTGTTGTTTTTTTATTTTGCGCAAAGCTACATAAGGGTTACCTGCGCTAACCGTCCCTAATTTATCAGTGAATAGACTAGAGGGAAGGCAGCAAGTCAACACCACTAACTCTTGGGCTACTCTTTTACCAACAAATAGCACGATTGACTATCACGTCATAACGCCCCATGGTTGAAAGGACGAGCATTATTTGCAACGGGGATTCCATCCCGCAATCGGTAGATTGCGAGTCGAGTGCCCTAACCATCAGGCCATGCCAGGTCCATCCAGAAAGAGACCTGCAATAAGTCGTACCCCAAGCGTGGCGAGCAGTACGGAGTTTTGTTGCACGTGAGAATCCACTGACACAAAGGTCAAAGGCAAAAGTCGTTCACGTGCCTCAGGCAACAGTACACATCATAATCAAAAAGTAAAAGCGACATATATCATGTGTACAAAGTTACTTCCTTGTAGTTTTTGTTCAACCGTCACATAATTCAAGCAGCTGGAGAATGAAACGGGTACACGTGCTATTCTATATGAAGTCGTTGGACTCAGGGTCTGTGGATTTCTGTGCGATTGGACTGTTGAAACAGACTTTGAGAAACCGTCGTCCTTATGTCTAAATGGTTTATAAAAAAAAGCCTGCAAAGCGGAAGGGTGTGTTTTAGGCATTATGACCTTACGATTGAGCCTTTTACAATCCAATCTACACTGATTGACTATTGTGAAGATACACGGTCGTCAGATAGAATACGACAGGATGTTGCAACATGGGCTGTAATCACGTGGTGAGGTTCCAAATTCGTTTTAATATAACACGCTCAACCTCTGATTTATGGTATTTATTTGTTGGTTTACAAACTTCATTTTTTAATCTGTTGGTATTGTTCGTCTTATCTCATTATCGTACGATAAACGTTTATCATGCAATTACTTCAGTGAAATGTAAACCAAATTAAGACCGATTTAAATACTTTATTTAAGACTTATAGATTTTTGCATCATTTTAACTATGTCAATGGTTGAACTAAATAACCTTTGTAAAGGTTAGTACATTTTATTCAAATAAACTGTTAAAAAGTACTATAACCTCTTTATTAGGTAACTCATTTTGTTTTGAAGGAGAAACAATAATCCGAAAAATTCACAGATACGTGTGAATGTGTTTGTTTTGCCTGAACTGTCGACTTAAAAAACACACACATCGTATATTTTAAAAGAGTGTTTTGTGTATAGCAGAAACAGTTGATTAATCACATAATTAGACTCGTGTTAGATTTTAAAAAAATAATGAACATGATACATCATCGAAACGTACATAACTAGACTCACGTTAGATCTTTAAAAATATTGAACATGATACATCATCGAAACGCACATAACTAGACTCACGTTAGATCTTTAAAAATATTGAACATGATACATCGTCGAAATGTACATGAATTATCTAAAATGAGAAAGGTTCATCTTTTTCTGAACATATAAAATCTTTGTAGTGACGACTTTCCAAACATGACCCGAAAAACAGCTTTTTCTACTGGTCATGACGAAAGAGGGGGTCTTTCCGCACCTTCTGTTTCGCACGCTGCAATCTCTGCGTGAAGAAAAATGAGAAAGTGGTTTGTTCAAGTTAGGTCAAGCTTCACGACTGAAGTGTGAGGGTCATCATCTGCACATCTCACATACAGACACATGACTACCGTGTCACAGCCCGCTAGGGGGCTTGAACAATGTGGGATGAATCCATTACCAAAGAGGTCTCATTTTCCTCAACTAAACTCACGTCTGTTGGTGTGTTACCGTTTCGTTAAAAAGTCAACTGAGCGATTTACAAACGTATAACATGAATACAGTACAGAATTAGACGGAGACATAGCTACTTTGGATTCTATCTTTTCACGATTTGAGCGGGAAATCCATACAGGAAATAACGGAAGCCGTATTATAATCTGGTATTTGTATATATATAATATAAATATTTGGGCACTATGTTCTTATCTCATGCTATACGTATATTACACAGTAACTTCGTTAAAAAGTAAAGCTGAATAAGTCCGACATAAATATAGTTTATTTAAGACTTACAAAGTTTCGCGTCATTTTAAATATTTTAATGGTTGGACTAAATATTCTTTATGTATGTTAATTTTCTTTTATAAGATTAAATCATATAGTTACCTTCTATACGCGAAATCATGTCTGGTGAGTGCTTTAAAACTAATCGTTTCTAAAATATGTCTCTGAGCAGCGTTTCCTGAATCAGTTTGTGAAAACTTGTTTTAAAAAACTAAAAACGTGAAGCTAACATTATAGCCTAGTTTTGTTTTCTACATTTATCTCAATTAAGTTTTAAAGCTGTGTCTTAGGATTTTGAAAAAAAAAATCTTCAAACTCATGACATCACGAATAGAATGTTTTCTGCTCTTATAGGGTTATCAACACTCTAATGACATATAAGTACATCAAAGCAGCAGTAACACGTAATAAGTTGATATTCGATTGTTTTGGAAAATTATTTCTATCAGTAACGAAATATTAAAATAATTTAGACTGTCTGTAATTGGTTAAAGACCGTATTATATTTGTATAAACCACATTCAGGCGAAGCTTGTTTTAGGTTCAATACTTAATTATTTAAGCTGAATTTACTATGAAACTGAAGAGTGAACCCTCACACAATATGTATAGCCATCATGTTTTAAGCATGAATAACACATTAAATATATAGACAGAAAAATTATTATTATCAAATATTTCTTGACCAATTACTGGTAACTTTCTTTCAAACTCAAAAGAGAAAAATTGTCAAGTATTTGTATTCATGTTTTGGCTTACTGTTTTTACGAGACTCCTCGTGGTTCAGCGGTAAGTCTGGGAGATTCGATCCCTGCGGTGAGCACAGTATAGACATTCCTTTGTGTTAAATAGTAACAAAGAAACAGTGTGTTTTGTGATACAGTTTATTGTATTTGATTATTTATTTTAGTGACTCGACGGTAAACCTGAAGGCTTATGATGCTAAAAACCGGGTTTCGATACCCGTGGTGGGCACAGCGCAGACGACTCATTGTGTAGCTTTGTGCTTAACAAGAACAAAATAAACGAAAATAAAGACTTTCTCCAGAAAAACGGGAAGTTGGACAAGTTCAGAATCCATAACAGTTTTCTTTAAAAATATAAAAATTGCTTTTTAAGTTACCAGTTATTGTGAATGCCCGGCCGTTATTGATTCCTCAGGTGCAAAACAAAATATATATGATTCACGTAGATTTTCGTCAATATTGTAAATTCATGTGACCCAAACAACTGTTAGCATTTCTTTTCATAGGGCTTTAGGCAATCTGTATTTCTTTAAACAAGCGTTTTGATTAATGGAACTTGTAGTGAAGGTTTTAAAAATGTTGTGTGTCTTTAGAGAAAGTATTCTGACCACTGGGAGGTGTAGCGAAGAATTAATGCCATCTGTGTGTCTTTAGATCAAGTATTATGATCACTGGAAGGGGTAGAGAGGGTTGTAGATAATATTTGCGTATCTTTAGAGCAAGTATTTGGATAATTAAGATCATATTTTCAAAGATCAAAACAGGGAATATCCAATTTTAATGTTTTGGTTTGAAAATACGATAAATTTAAGAAAAAATAAAAATATCTAACAGTTATAGCTTTGCGTAATATTATCTATTAAAATGTTGAACATGTAAAACAAAACCCAGTATTACACAAAAGAAGTTAGGAATAAATTTGGAACGTTAGGAAAGCATGACGCTAATAATTCTATTAACAAAATACATTAATGGACTTTGCATTTCTTACCTTTGAATGATGGTCTTAAGCCATTATATTGACTACAGGAGGTATTTTTGTAACATATGTCCGAATATAGTTTCACCAAAAAACTTGAAAAAATACAAATTAGACCTCTTAAAAAAAAGGATTTGAAAAAGTGGTTTTCTAAACTTTTAACGAATTAATTCTAATGAATCTTTTTCCTGTTAAAAGTTTGATAATAGAGTTTGAGACTTTTGTGTCACACAGCAATCTCAGGATTTTATTAGCTTTATTTACAATTAGAATAGCTTCCCGTGCTTCGCCCAGCAGCAAATGTCATCTTCGTTTGGCGTCGGTTTTTGCTACCGCCCTTCTCGCTCAGTTTAGCCTCATTCGCGTCACTAAATCAGTAAAACTTAAAAGGCTGCCAAACTTGATCTCTTCTTTCACACAAACTAAGTGTTATTTGTGGACAATATGTTGGTAAGGCCACGTTTTAGTGTTGTGACAGAAGATATATTTAACAAGTGTATATCATCCAAACCGTGCTGCATGATACAACACCTGTTTCATGATACATGGAATGTAAAAGGCCAGTGGCTCGATCCACCAGGAACCTCGTGACCAAAATATTTGTTACTATATTACTATTCGTTCCTCCTATTGCTTATCTATCATTACTCGATCATTTGAAGGGTAATCAAGCCAGCCAATTTTGGGTGAAGGAAGCCAAAGGTGTATGTAAAAGAAAAAATGTTTCCTATTTCAGTGGCTTTTTATCCTTTTAGGAAAAAAAATTCCTAAAGAAAAATATCCCCCTATACCATTGAACAGTTTCCAGTTACCATACCAAAAATTAAAGTAATCGAGCCAGACAACTCTAAATAGTGGACTATAACACATATAGACATACACACACATAATAAATAATCTATATAGTAATATAGATGATTATGAAACTTATACTGAACAATGCATAAATCATTAAGATAATACCTTATTAATACCAATCTTCCTTTAACTTTAGTGGTGAAACCGGTGCTATTTATTTACTAAAATCTGTTAACTTTTTTTTTGAACCGTGACGGTTCCAAGTGTTCTAACTAATGCTTTTCAGTTACAAAGAAAGCAGAAAAAGAAGTGAATCTGAAAATTGATTTCTTAATGATTTCATGAAAGAATTATATAATGATTTGTGTGGGAAATGTAAAAATTAGTCATCTCATCGCCAAAGATAATTGACAGAAAGAATATAATCTGTGCACTAATGTAGCTATTTCATAAATGGAAGGGAACCTGGATGATCGTTATTATTTAATTTATTCTCATTTATCATGTTAGAAACCCATGTGGACTGTAGTTTACTTTCAGAGTGAAATATAAACACTAGTCTGGGAAACAAGTGGTCACTATTAATTTATATTAAGTATTGTAAATGGAAACATAGGCGTGTCAAAATTACGCCAAAGAGTTAATATATATATATATATATCACATTTAACTATATTTACAGGATTCCATGAAGTGGCACGTTGTGCAACTGCTTGCGCTTGCAGCGCTGACATGCAGCTTTGCCAGCGATGTACCAGTCAACCAAACAACAGGTAAGAAAACATATAGTCTATAGAATACTGCCTGATTTATTCATTAAAGCTTCCATTTCGTTATATGAACAAGAAAAATTGAAATAGTGTAATCACGTTTGATGTAGAACAATATCGTTTCAAAACAAAATAATTTCTTATGTCCAATGTATTTATACAAGGGTAAACAATGTAAAACCTTTACTATAAACTATAATTTCTTTATTAATGAGCTTTGATATCATAGACATGTAAACAGCAAAAACGTCAACTATGTCTTCATGTACTAATTTATCGAACACGTAAACAGTTTGTCAACGTCCAGGACGTGAAGAAACAGGTTTAGTGGAAACATTTCACACTTACATCCAGTTCATGACGATAAAGTGTTAGAGGAGACATTTCACGTTTCCACCCAGGACATAACGAGACAGGTTTAGGGGAGACACTTCACACTTCCATCCAGAGCATAACAAGACAGGTTTAGGGGAGACACTTTACACTTCTATCCAGTTCATAACGAGAAAGTGTTAGAGGAGGTATTTCACACTCGTGTCGATGTCATAACGAGACAGGTTTAGGGGAGACACTTCACACTTCTATCCAGTTCATAACGAGAAAGTGTTAGAGAGGATATTTCACACTCTCATCACGGTCATAACGAGACAGGATTATAGGACACAATTCACACTTCCAGCCAGGTTATGACGAGACAGATTTACAGGAAGCATGTTTTACACTTCCTTCTCCTTCGTAACATTTTTATGACGAAGCAAGGAAAAAAATCGAAACGTCTCTTCAGGTATTCGACCAGAATAATATTCTTCATTAGAAAAATTTTAATATGTCACCTTTTCCAGATATCATTAGAGAGTAATCATAGACATAGCCAGTAAAAGGAGTGAAACTACTGGGTTTTACCCTTTCTCCCTAAATTACAGAAAGTTTATGCACAGTTTCACTGTAAAAACTCAAAAATCGCTCGAAAGTTTGCTTCAAAGAGCAGCAGACGCCTCAATGATATTTAGTGAATGATAATTATATTAGTATGTGTTACCAATAAAGTTAAGTATCGAACTCCTTTGTTTCTTTACAAAACACTAGTCATTAAATTATTTTTCACCAGCTCCCTACCCCAAAATACTTCCCGGTTACAGTACTGTTACCAATATGCATCTTTCCCATGTAACACCAGTTGCCAAAAACTTAGCAACTAAGTATAGTTACAAACTGTGAAATTAAGCATCATAATTACAAGTAATTAAATATGAAAAGATATTGGAATTAAATTTCCAACCAATGAGTGTACTAAAATTTGCCATTTTACAATTTCAGTCTTGTCAACTGTGATTATTGGCTAAGATTCGAGACGTTCAAGTTAATGGTTTAGAATATATAGTAGTTTGTAATAGACCCAAAGAAAACCACCCTTCCGGTAATTCTTGAACTGTATGAAACACGATTATTTAGTTCTAAACGCAAAGTTGCACAATAAGCACAGGGATCGAGCCCTGGGTTTTAGCTTTATATGATCCCAATCTTACCATTGAGCCACCGAAGAGAGGTAGGCTAGAAACGATGGTGTATAGATTCGACTCGTTAGTTAGACTTAATCTAACAAATGCGTACAAGGACGACACGGGGTTAAAAAATAATCGTGTAAAGGATTTTACTTAATCAAATCTTTAACTCATCACCTAGCAAAATGATTTGTTTGTTTGTTTAAGCGCAAAATTATCTCCAATGGGTAATTTGCGCTCTGTCCGCCGAGAGTAATCGAACCCCGGATTTTTGCGTTGAAAGGTAATATAATATTAAATAAAAAAATGTTTCATTACAGGCCAGTAATTGAGAAAAAAGTCTCATATTAAGGTCCCATTCAGATAACCTATGAAATTTCAATAATAAAACAAAACTCAGTTAATATGATTTTACATCATAATAACAGTGATAATTTTTTTATAAATCTTTTTTTTTAATGGCTTGATATTTACATTACGATTATTCCAGGAAGTTGAACATAATGGCATATCAACCGCACACCTTTTGCACTACACGCCACTACCGACGAAGCAATTTGCTCAATATCAGAGCCCAACAAGACTTATGTTAAAACAATGATATTTCATAAAAAAGTAAATAGAAAGTTTTTCTGATTAAATTGATTTTACGTATTATGATCTACAATTTGTTCTGGATGTAAGTTTTGCATCTTTGTCGGATAAGTAGAGTGTTTTTACTAGAAGAACCGGTAATTCTTCATAATTAAAACAGTCTAACTATTACCTGAAAGTTTCTCTTCAATGTTTTAAAAACAACTTCAGCCTTCTTGTTTTTGGTCTTAAGGAAAAGTAAAGTTTCATCAGTTAAGACGGTAAGAAATTTTACAAAGAATTTTGTAAAGTACTAAGATTATTACGGGTGCCTGAATGTTTAATATTTGGTTCATAACAATTGAATATTCGGATGGACGCCGAATATTTTGTAGGATGTCTGATACAACAACGTATACGTGAAGTACTATATTTAGTATTTCATAGGTTATCGGCGTAGCTATACATTAGATATATACATATGTTAAGCAACCATATTCTCCCTATGCTCTAATAAGCTAGAATCTCCTATTTAACTACTCATTAAGAGACCTGTAGAGTAAACACGAGGATATCGTAGCATGTTCTGCGCATCTCTACTCATATGTTGTTCATGTGTGTGTCGCTCTGAATATTAAATATTTTATCGACACCAGTGTACTGTGATTAGAATGGTGGAAAGAGTGAGTAGATGTTAATTGAGTGAAAATGATATTTTATTTTAACACATACACACAAATCCAAGTTGTTGCAAACTACAAGTGCATTCATTGAAATATAAAATTTATAACATATAAATGATAGTTTAAGTCTACAAAATGTGAACTTAAGCCTACTCTTATTTTTAATAATTTTTGAAAAACCAACTAACAATTGTCATTAGAGTATAAGCGAGGTACATATTATCAACTGCCACTGAAATTTCAGTAAATAGCCATCTTAAAGCCAAATGACCCCTTTGTTGGTGATGGAATGTCATCAGAAACTATTTTGTACTCTATAGTTTAGTTAACTTATTGTCATGTTGGTTGTCAGTCTCGACTATTTTACTTGAAGTGAAATTAAACGTGCTAAAACGTGGGTCAAAAGTAATATCAACCAGGTTATCTTCTTCCGCAATGAAAAAAACAACAACTCGAAATAATTCCCGAATTAAAATCATAAATAATATTCAACGTTAAACTGGTACACAATTAAAAAC